CTGGGTCTCGATTATACTCAGGTCTCTGTCATCGTGGTCTTGCACTGCGGGGCTTTAGTAGGTTGGGGGAAAGCACAGAAAGCTGCGATTGGCCAGTCTGGGCTATAAACTTGGGCAGAATGCTGGAGGGAAGAAAGCACAGGGTTATTTTGCTGGCTCATGTTTAAAACAAAACAAAGTTACAACAAATAGTAACTTCAAAATGCAGACATTTATACTTTGACATTTATACTTTGAGAAAATTATGACCTACCGGGGAAGTTTCCTCAATCCATTTGCATTAAACTATAATAGTGGTTTTGTAATTATAAAATATATAACTGAAGTTGCTGGAATCATCTTTTAAAATACAAGCCGTGCACTCTTGTGGTATTACTGGGTTGAGAGACACGTCCTAAACCAGGGAAGGAACTGGATGGGAAAGTAAAAAGGTGTCTCATGGAGGCGGTGGAACTCTAGGATCACGTGAAGTGTGATACAGTGTTGGTCATGGGGGCTGTGAAACTCTAGGGTCACGTGAAGGTTAATGACACAGCATTGGTTACGGTTGTTGAAGTCCAACAGCCGTGACAGGATTGGCTCCCACTCTGAGCCCTCCCTGACACAGCTGTATCTTGCTGGACTGGGTGCATTCACTTGTCTTTATTTATCTCTTCAAACATTTCCAGGATGATAGGATAGACTGTTAAAGGGATGACTCCACCTAATCGGGTTCAGTGTTAAGAAACTAGAGCTACCAGGAGGTCTAACTTAACCCCTCCCCAATCTGGGATGGTCACACACAGTACGGGGACAGAGGGCAGGAAGGAAAGTTACTTTATTTTTGAGTCTATGAATCAAGTTCTGAGAAAAACAAAGCACAGAGTTTGAGCTGGAGCTGAGGAATAAAAGGAGGGCTAGCAAGGCAGAAAGAATTTTCCTTAGGAGAGAAGAATTGAGACCCTTAATCTTGAAGGTCAGTACCAGATGATGGGCCCCAAGGATAGAATATGCTCAAATGCTTCAGTAAATAGCCAGAGTTTCCAAAGAAAAGTTTCGCTTTGAGGGAGCTGTCTAAGGATACTTGTCCACAGTGACCGGCAAACAGGGACAAAGTCAGGGATATAATGTCAGAGACTGGCCAGAGCTCAGGGGAGTGGCCTTCAACACTCAGCAGTGAAGCTGGCAAGGAGACAATTGTGAAAAGTGGTGCTGAACTATTTGTAATAGCCAGAACCTGGAAACAGCCTAGGTGCCCCTCAATAGAAGAATGGTTAAAAAAGGTGTGGAACATATACACATTAGAGTTTTACTCAGCGGTAAAAAATAATGACATCTTGAATTTTGCATGCAAATGGATGGACATAGAAAACGCTTTACTGAGTGAGGTAAGCCAGACCCAAAAAGAGGAACACGGTATGTATTCACTCATAAGTGGATTCTAACCATAATTAAAGGTCTTTGAGCCTATTATTCGTGATCCTAGAGAAGCTAAATAAGAAGACGAACCTGATGAAGATTATTTACCTATCCGCCAGGAGGTAGGAAATAGTCAAGAGTCCCAGGTAACCTTGGGTGCATGGGGGGGGGGGGTGGTGGGAGGGTTGTTGGAAGGGGAGAGGGTTAGAGAGAAGGGAGTAGGGGAGGAATGGAGAAAGCTCGGTTGACCGGGATGGGGGGAAGGGAGGAAGGATGAATGTGGGATCAGGGAAGAATATATTTCAACTAAGGGAGTCATATTAGAGTTTACAGGAAACTTGATTATATATGGGATCCCAGGTCCAAGGAGAGATCCCCAGATTGTTCTCTGGACAGAGGAGGGGGTGCCTGAACCAGCCTTGGCCCGTGACCATACTGATGAATATGTTGCTTATCACCATAGATCCCTCACCTGGCGTTGGATGACGATACAGATGGAGGCCCGCGTTGGAGCACCGAACTGAGCCCCCCAAGTTCCAAACGAGGAGCAAAAGGAGGAAGAAAATGACGAAGGACTGCGAGGGATACTATCACCCACTGATACAAGGGGTCGGATCTAATGAGAGTTTACCAAGGCCAGATGGACCGTGACTGAAAGAGCATGTGATCCAACCAGATTCTCTGAATGTGGTTGGATTTTCTGAATGTGGCTGGCCTGCAGTCTTTCCGAGAAGCCATTGACAATGACACTGGGACTGGTTTCCTCTGCATATACTGGATTTTTGGGATCCAGTCTGTTTGGATGCTCACCTTCCTGGACCTGGAGTGAGGGGGGAGGAACTTGGACTTCCCACAGGGCAGGAGACCCTGACTTCCCTTGGGGACAAAGAGGGAGGAGGAGAGGGAGGGGGGGAGTGGGAGGGCGTTGGGAGGAGGGGCGTAAATGGAAACTTTTTATAATTTAATAAAATTACTAAAAGAAAAAAAAAAAAAAAGAAAAGTGGTGCTGAGTCTCCCACTGAGGCCGCTTTGCATTTGTTCCTCTTGGGTGGCCATATAAACCCATGAGCGCAGGCCACTCTGAGAAAGACCTTTATAGTTGGCCTTCCCATGCCATTTGCACTAGCATCATCAAAATCACTGTAACATGACCAAGCAGACATTTGACTATGTTTGACATATAGTTAAAGCAAGGGGCAGCTGTCTTTTCTTACCTCTCCAAGAGTGTGCTCACCATCTTCTCAAAAGTCTCGTCACATCTCAGAAGTGGGCTGGTGACCCCCCACTGCAGCGACTTGCTGTACTCATTCAAGCCAAAGTAGAGCTTCTCACAGCCCACATCCTCCTGATTGAAAACAGAGCAGATGCCCAGTGAAGACAGGGTGTGTGTGTGTGTGTGTGTGTGTGTGTGTGTGTGTATGTGCATGCATTGTGTGAGTGTGTGTAAGTGTGCGCGTGTGTGTATGTGTGTGAGTGTGTGTATGTGTGTGTGTGTTTACGTGTGTGAGTGTGTGTGTGAGTGTGTATGTACGTGCTTTGTGTGTGAGTGTGTGTGTGAAGAGATACTGGTGGAGGTAAAAGAAAACCCTGTTGTGAAACTTGACACCAACTTTGCATTTCCACGGAACTTAGTGGTATGTTGACATGTTTCTTTTGGGACCAATGGGAACTACACAGAGAAAACAAACTAGGGGTTTGTCTTCCTTTTGTTTAGATTCACAGGCCAGAGACCTTTTCCTGCTAGAAGCAGCTCTCTTTTCTAATGTATCTATCAAGTTTGGGGAGAAACTGAGAAACTCATGTTGCAAACACTTAAGTTTTTTTGGTGCTATTTAATTGTGGCAACTCCTTTTACAATAAAAATTAGCTTTCAAATGGAGTATAAAAATATAATGGAACATCCTACCTCATTAGACAGAACACACAGCACCAATCCTACCTCCTCCGATTGACTCAATCATCACCATGCAAGCGAATAACTTTTGGGATATGACACAGGATGCCCTCAGAGGATACTGGGATGTGTGACATGCTGCTGTCTTTCGTGTAAGAAGGCCCAGAATATTAAGTAAGTTGTGACTTAATAGATTTGATTTTATTTGTTTATACTTTCCTTTTTCTTCAGTTTTATAGTCTTTCCTCATACCTGTGCATTTTATTTTCATGGTTTTTATTTACATTTTATTGTATTTTATTTTCATGATTTTTGAAAGTTTTCTTTAAACATTCTCTAGTTTATTTTATGAAGAAAACAAAGCTGATACTAAAATTATAATAATATAAAAATAAATTAGAGGGACTGGGTGATGGTGGCTCAAGTCTTTAGTTCCAGTACTCAGGAGGTAGGGGCAGGTGGATTTCAGTGAGTTCGAGGTTAACCTGGTTTACAAAGTGAGTTCCGAACAGCCAGGACTGTTATACAGAGAAACCCTGTCTCAAAAAACCAAAATACACACACACACACACACACACACACACACACACACACAAATAAATAAATAATTTAGAAGAAGAAGATGAGGGTATTAGAAACAAGAATGGACCCCTGGAAATGTGTAGAAATTTGTGTATAATTTGTCAGAAGTGGCTACAAGTCTGAACTTTTCTCTCCTTTTTGAGACAGTATTTCATGTAGCCCAGGCTGCCTTTGAACTTGATATGTAGCTGAAGATGATCTTGAATTTCTGATCCTCCTGCCTCCACCTTGCAAGTCCTGACACCACAGGTATGTGTCACCATGCCGGGCTCTATGTTTGCTAAGTGAGCATTCTACCAACTCAACTATATCCCCAGCCTCAGAGCCCCTGAATAACCCACCTTATACAACCTGTGATTGGTAGAGTCTATAAAATGAGTATGGGGGAACTAGTGCAATGGATCAATAGTTAAGAGTACTTGTTGCTCTTGTAGAGGACCCAAGTTCAGTTTCTAACACCTATATGGTGCTTACAATTGCCTGCAACTGAAGCTCAGGGTCTCTGGTGCCCTCTTCTGGTCTCTGTATGCATCCACATGCATGTGGTACATACCAATATGCACACACATGCGATCTTTAACAATATAAGGTACTATTATTAGCATCCTCCTTCAAACAAGATAACCCTGCTTGCTGGCATAGGGTCTTCTTTGAGAGTTGCCAAAGATGTACTCTTTTCTTTTTTTGGTGGACTTGCATGTCACTTTGGGTGAAAAAAAACCCATCCATTTCCCCTTCCACTTTCATCTGGACCGCGGCACACAGTCATGCAGAAGGAGAGTTATACTGTGTGTATACTAAGTTCTCCACTTTCTTTCTCGGCCCTAGTGCTGGTTTGTTTGGGAAAAGATAACCAGGGCTGATGAGGTGGCTCAGCAGGCAAAGGTTTCCACTAAAGTAACCTGAGTTCAGTCCCTACATGTGCTTTGCTTTCCCTTGCAATGATTAGCCCTTTGGGTGTTCTGTGAAAGTGGACACAGACCTACAAGTGCTGCAGTGGTTTTTATAATTATTTATTTATTTGGTTTTTTTGAGACAGGGTTTCTCTGTCGCTTTGGAACCTGTCCTGGAACTAGCTCTTGTAGACCAGGCTGGCTTCAAACTCACCAAGATCTGCCTACCTCTGCCTCCCGAGTGCTGGGATTTAAGGCGTGCACCACCATCGCCCAGCTGTAATGGCTTTTAAATTGAAGCATTTTGCTATATCTTAATTTCTCCCATCAGAAATGGGTGTCTGAAGAGCTGGAGAAGGGACTTGTGAGGACCTTTGTCCTCCATGTGGCTGGCTAGGTGGATTCAGCCTGAGAGAGTACAGACTAACACAGCATCTTCCTTTCTCTCTGTTGAGCTCAGTTCCTTAGGGATGCGTTATTTAAACATTATTATTTCTTTGCCAGGCACTGGTGGCACATGCCTTTAATCCCAGCACTTGGAAGGCAGAGGCAGGCAGATCTCTGAGTTCAAAGCAGTCAGGGATACACTCTGTCTTGAAAAAATCTTCAGTGTGAAGACTGAGTTGTGTGCCTCATGCCTACTAGGTAAGGGCTTGACCGATGGGCTATCACCCTAGTACTTGGAAATTAGTTATTCACACAGGTAATTCAGGATATTAATGATACTCTGATATAATATTATTTCTTTGTTTGGAAATAGGGCATCACTCTGGATGTAACCAGGCTAGCCCAAGTACTGGGATTAGAGGGATATGTCACCATATCTGGATACTAAACTCTATGGAATATGCTTAATAATTTTGTATCTACAACATACATACGTACCTAAAGACTAGTCAGCCACCCAATGAACCTTCTGTAGGACACTACTCATGGTCGTTAATGTTATAATAACTGCAATTAGCACATAATGGTATAGTGTTCATAGTTTCAGTACTCAGAAGAGAAGGGTAGGAGGTCAGGGCCAGATAGGGCAAAATAGCAAGATCCCATTTCAAAAAAATCGTGACCATATGAAAAATGAAGCATTATGTATGTTAATTAGATGTCTTGACACATTTGTGCTGTATTTTTACCAATCCATGGTCATGTTTAGTGCCAGGTTTTGCCTCCTGGAGAACTGCAAATGTCTAGACATGGAAGACTCACCGTTGTGTCCAGTTGTATCCAGTGGACCTCATTGCTGGAGCTGATTCGAGACTGCTGGGTCTGCAGTGTGTATGGGAAGGAGCTCACTTGGAGCACCAGGAGGTTGAAAGCTTCTAGAACTTCTCTGCAGTTAATGACGCGATCAGCCAATCCATGAGTTGGCTCACCATGTGACAGAGAACCCGAAATCACACTGTAGAAATAATGAAAGTCATGTTAGAGCTTTCTTACCCAACTGACTGGCTACAGATGCAGGTGACAGCATGGAGTGACATTGTACTTATTTTATTTGAGAGGAGAAGATACAATCAGAATGTGATTTGAGAGTTGGGTGTACACACCTATGATCGGAAAGCGTGTGAGAAGCTGAGGCAGGAAGATTGATAGTTGTGGGCTGTATAATGAGATCTTGCCTCATAAAACAATCATAAAACAAATATGATTTAAAAGATAAAAAAACCTTTATATCCTTCCTCACCCCTTCCAGACAGATTTTGGGGACTCTCTCCCTCCTGGCTTTTCAATTTGTTCCTAAGCTATTCTGAATGTGAACTCAGTCACACAGCCCACAGTAGCTCATCTGTGTTGAGTTGGATTGTTGTACTGTGAAACCTTCCAGCCCTGCAATGACCTTCATCCCTAACAACCTCCTTCCCTCCTTGGCCTCTAGCCTGAGAGGAGGGTTGGGAGGAGAGCTGAGAGGCCTTCCTAACTCCACAATCCAGAGAATGACACCTCTAGGGTTTTCTCAGTCAGTTCAGTTTTGATATGCTAGGATATCATGTAAACCCAAACCCACATATTACATTCTATTTTTCTTTTTATTTTCTTCTGTAATTGTGTGTACATGCATATTCAATCCCCAGAAATCACATGGTAGAAGAGAGAACTGATTCCCTCAAATTATCCTTTGACTTCTAAGTGTGCATGACTGCTACATGAATGGACATGCATAAAATAAATCAGCAGTGACAAAAATTGAAAATCAACATAAATTGGACAGAAGAGTTGAAGGGGCCGGGAATGGCTAGGAGGAAGTCACCAATGGGAAGACACCAAATGAAAGGTGTCTTCACGGCAGGCCTTTCAAAGGCCCCTTAGGTGACAGTTACTGCTATGGAAGAAATGCTGGATCTGCTCAGACAGAAGCACTCACCTCGTTAGCTCCACATGGGAGTTGTCATGAACTAGCACAAACAGTGTGTATGGATTCTGTTTCACCCTTCTCATAAAAACTTCAAACTTGCTTTGAATGTCATTGTCCAGGCGAACAACATATTTTTCTGCTCTCTGATGAGCCATTCCATTTTCTTCCAGACCCAGGTCTACAAGGACACCTGCCAAGAAAAAAAAGTTCCTCTTTTTACACACCTTCATGTATAACACACACACATACACACACACGCACGCACGCACGCACGAACGCACACACAAGCTCCGTGTTGACCAGTACTGGGCACTACCCACATAGAGGTTTAGGTTTAGTGAGCAATCTTTTTTGTTTTTCATATTCTATACCAGTTTTGAGGAGGAAATACCAGATTTCTCTTTCTTCAGACCATCCTATTCAATGTCTCATTTTCTTATATAAAGAATAATAAATACATTTCTTCTGTTTTGTGTGTTTTTAAATTTTAATTAATTTTTTAAATTTTTGTGTTTTGAGACAGGTTTTCATGAGCCTGCACTGGCCTCCCTGGATTAGACCCACTCCCATCTTATAGAACAGACTCAGGGAATGTTGATTCCTAAAAAAAGCTGTTGAATGTTGAGATCCATTTCATTTCACTCCTTATTGTAGGTAAAGTGCTCATAATGATGTCTACCATAGGCGACCAGGAAAAAACATCAGCTTTGGTTTGCAGACCTTGAATAAATTAATATAACATATAACCTTATTTCCCCAAATTTAGCATAGAAAAGGAAAATACAAACCCAGGACTTTACATATGCCAGGTAAGCACTCTCCCCGCAAATCATATTGCCAGCCACTACTATAAACATTTTATAGAGGGATGCACATATGCAGAGTGTGGGAAGCCTTCAGTGAATGTTAGCTTATTTTCAAATTACTAAAACAAATGGGATTAACCATGATCTCTGCATTCTCAGGACATTAGACTGTGGTGCTAGGACAGCACCAGAGACCCTACCTGTAACAACATTTGACACACAAACATCTGAAGTAGTTCTAGGTGTATGAAGCTGTCGCTGGGACATACATAATACACCTGCCTCCTTTGAAACAAAGAGATTTGCATGAATTATACTGATTTCATTTTCTTTTTAAAAAATGAGACTAAGCTGAGCGGTTGTGGCACACACCCTTAATCCCAGCACTCGGGAGGCAGAGGCAGGTGGATCTCTGTGAGTTCCAGGCCAGCCTGGTCTACAAGAGCTAGTTCCAGGACAGGTTCCAAAGCTATAGAGAAACTCTGTCTCGAAAAACCAAAAAACAAAAAAAGATGCCAACCCAGCTAACACTTACAAACAGTTAGATCTGTAAGCTATAACAATAGCCTGGAGCAAAATAAGAGGAAAAAGTGAAAGACACTTCATTATATGAAAAGTTCATCATACCAGAAAAGAAAAACATAAAACTAGTTTTAATTCAAGAAATATTTTTGAGACAGGGTCTCTTTATGTAACCTTGGCTGGCCTGAAACTCACAGAGGTCTGCCTGTCTCTGCTTCCTGAGTGCTAGGGTTAAGTGTGTGTGTCCTAAAATTGGTTTTTTATTTGATTTTTATGTATGCATGTGTGTGCCTATATGCATGTGCCTATATGTGTGTGTGCCTATATGCGTGTGTGCGCCTATATGCGTGTGTGCGCCTATATGCGTGTGCGCCTATATGCGTGTGTGCGCCTATATGCGTGTGTGCGCCTATATGCGTGTGTGTGCCTATATGCGTGTGTGCGTGCCTATATGCGTGTGTGTGCCTATATGCGTGTGTGTGCCTATATGAATGTGTGTACCTATATGCGTGTGTGTACCTATATGAATGTGTGTACCTATATGCGTGTGTGTGTAGTGTCCATGGAAGGCAGAAGAGGGCGCTGGTTCTTCTGGAACTAGAGTTACAGACATTTTGGAGTCACTATGTGGGTGCTGGGAATTGACTCCGGGTCCTCAGCAAGAGCAGCCAGTGCTCTTAAGCACTGAGCCATCTCTCAGACCCCTTAGTTTTTTACTAGGAACCTTTACTTGGGAGATTGTCTTCAGTTTCCGCCCGAGAGCAGTCACATTTTATTGTGGATGTTTCCAACAGGAGGCCACTGTGAATTCTTTTGAAAGAAGACCTGTGACGGTCACTCATCATTCAGGAACTATATTTATTGGTCCTCGAGTCTGTGAAGTGATCATCAGGGGCTGTGCCAAATCTGAGGCTACAGAGAGGAGTGGGACAGGCAGTGCCATGATGGGGGCCGCTCACTCGGGGGAGAGGAAGTCAGCCGAGCAGAGGGAATCTCAGGAGCTTTTTATTCTTGTCTGCAAAGTGGGGAAGAATTGGGCCAGATGTTCGACACCAGAAATAAAAGGGAGAATGCAAGTTAAATCCTCAAAAAAAAAAAAAATCTTAAAACTGTAAGAAAGAAGTAGGTGGGAAAAACAAAACATGTCTCTCATTTCTACAAAACTCATCAACAACACAGGAAGAAGCCAGGAAACCCCTGAATTAAACCAAACTAAAATGATGGTTATGCAACTCCAGGTACATGGTCGGAAAGCCGGTGGGAAGACTGGAGAGCAGCAGAGACACTCACTTCTGTGAACACATCACTATGCATGGCAGCCAACCCCCAGTGGGGTCGACATGGCAACAGATGACTCCTCGCCTGTCATGAGGAATGTGCAGTGCAACAGTGGAGATGGGAGAGAAGAACTCAAAGGGAAACACAAGTCCAGGCTTGAAGACAAAAGGAATACGCACAAATACTTCAGTCAGCAAAGCAGCTTCTTACAGGGATGTGCGGCTGTGATTACATAAGCAATACAAAGTCCAGGTGAATGTGTGCTAGGTGAGAAGTTGTTTCTTCTTGTGAGAAAAAGAAGTCACAAGTAGGAGCAGGGGAAATGCCAAGATGAATTTGTGTTTGTTTTAGAATTGGAGGTCTCAATATGAACTCATTACTTAAATGTATACAAAGAAGTAAAGAGGTGTGTGTGCATGTATGGGTTGAGACACACACACTTTCTAGTTCTGTCTGCCAGCTGTGCGTAAAATGACACAGCAGTGCCATTACCACCATAGCAATAAGCATGCCTGTGCCCAGATCTGGGCTTTTAGATACCCCTTTCAATAAAATAATCAAAGCTTTTGGGGAAAAAAGTTAATCTCAGAAAAAAATGCAGGGAAATATAAAACAATCTTGGGGGCCAGTGAATCGGCAAGCCTGACCCCTGAGTTGATCCTGGAATGCACAAAAGCTGACTGTGGTGGTTCGCATTTGTAACCTCAGCACTCTCCTCAGGTGAGATGAGAGGCAGAGAACAGCCAGGGAGCTTGCGAGCTAATCTGGAGTATGTATGTCAGAAACATCAAGAAACACACTACCATAGGGCTGGGAAGATGGTTCAGTGGTTAAGAGCACTTGTTGCTCTTGCAGAGGACCCAGGACCCACATGTGGCTCACAAGTATCCAGAACTCCAGTCCCAGGGGACGCCATGCCTTCTTCTGACCTCAGTGGGGGAGACACACAGGTGGTGCAAATACACACAAACAAAACACTCAAGCACATAAAATAAAATGAAATCTAAAAAAAAAAAAAAATTAAAAAGAGAAAGAGACCCTGCCTCAGTAAGGTAGAGAGGGCCGGGGGTGAGGATGGCAAACCAGAGTCTTTACAGGTTCTCCTAGTAGCCCTGATAGAGACCAGAGTCAGGACACGTTTCTAATAGCCCTTGCCAGGGACCAGGCCTTAGTTTGGGTTTACTGGAGGTGGCTAGAACTGAGCAAACGGTTCTCCAAGAAAACCACAACTCAGGGATCATCAGGTGCCCCCTTGGCCTTCTGTTGTCTCAGCAGATGACCACAGTCTATGATAATTAAAGATAGCTTTCTTACCCTGCTTCCGGAAGGTCCCTAACATTAGAACCCTCCACCAATCAGCCCCCAGATTTATCTTTCCTCCACCAATAAGTCCCCAGACTAATTTTTCCTCCTTTAATCGGTCCCAGATTAATCCCACTCCCTGGAATTCCCCTAACTCTCCTCAAAAGGAGTTTGTGACCTCCTTGGGAGGTGGCCATGCGCCACCCCAGCGCAGGAATAAAGCGCTCTTGTTTATTACATATGTGACTGTAGGTCTTTTCTTGGGGCTTTCTCTCAGACCCTAACAAGAACCAACTCCTAAAAGTTGTCATCTGACCTACACACACATGCACACACACTGCCTGTAAGAGATTCTAATAGCTAATGCTGGAAATTCTGAGCAACAACATAAAATAACACTGATAGAAACAATCCAGAGGTTAAAATTAATATCCATGGATCATTCTGTTAAGAAGGAAGGGAGGGAGGAAAGAAGAAAGGAGTTAAGGAAAGGGGAATGGTTTTCCTTCACACAATTCAGTTAATAAACTCCCAATAAATGTTTGGAAATGACAGAATCACTATTTTGGCTTTTTTTTCCCACGTGGAGAGTTTTTATTGGAGGGAAGGGAGCAAAGGGAGAGCGAAGGGGAGCACAGAGCATCCAGCCTCATTGGGGGGGGACAGAGAGAGAGCTAGAAAGAGTGATAAGTGTAACTGCTGGTCGACAGTGGACACTGCCAGCCTCTTCTGCTACTAAAGTAGCTTTTACAGAAATATCTGTTTATCATTTTCATTTACAAAAACCCAATGGTACTGAACATCTTTCCATGTGTCAATCACACACACACACGCACGCGCGCGCACGCACACACGCACACCCACACCCACATGTCTTTGGGATAACTATTTGGATACTTCACCTATAATCTGTCTTGTCTCTTTATAATTGAGTTGTAATAGATCTTTAAATATTGTTTATATAGTCTCCTACCAAATACATATGTTTTGAGAGTGGTTATATATATATATATATTACAGGCTGGCTTCAACCTTCCTTGACTCCTATGTAGTCAAGGATGACCTTGAACTCGTAATCATCCTGTCTCCCATTCCCAAGTGGTGAGATTACAGGTGTGTGCTAACATGCCTGGCAATAGATATATGACTTTTAAATAGTTTCTCCTATTTTCTGGGTTATCGTTTCTCTTTCTTGAAACAAAAGCAACTTTTCAACTTTGAGTTGGTCAGTTTATGTATTTGGGAATGTCTAGCTTCTGATGTTCTAGCCAGTAAAGACAGG